TTTATCTAGTACCCTCCAGCTTTACCTCAACTGTATTTATCACAAAGTAGTTTCTCTTCAAAACTCTATGTGGTTTTAAATGTTCAATCAACAGGATGTAACTAAATCACACTTGTCTATTTTCTTCTGTTCTCCAGGCAGGTTCTTCAGTGATGTCTGGCCCAGGAGAGAGCACCAGTCCTGAAAGCAGCACACTCAAATATTCAGGTCAAGAAGGGCTGTATACAGGAGTCAGCCTGACCTCCACAGCTGAAGTTACAGCATCTGTGAGACAGGAGTGGTGCACAGGATTCAGTGCAAGTTGAGCTGGATACCTGCACAGGGCTGCAGCCACTAGATGTCCACATTTTTGTTTCATTTTGTATTATGGAGCAGTCAGAGCAGCAGTGAGAGTGCTGGCAAGAACTTTCCTCTGACATTGTCTTTGTGCCTTGATGGTAGAGGTGTTTCTCCAAAGAGGCTCTGCCTACATATCCAGCTCCTCATCTATGCAAGAAAAAATGAGAGAAAGTGAATCTCTACCAAGGGAAAACTAATGCAGCCAAAAAGAGAACCTAGAGCTATTGATAGGCTCCAGAAATACATCTACAGAATATGCAGCCATGCTGCCTTTTAGATTGCATATTTGTTTCACCATCTCCCTAGGATTTGATTGGGAGGGAGATAGCAGAGGCTTTGATTATAAGGGATAGTGAGAAAAAATTTCAAAAGCAGTAATGAGTGTATTGCTTGACCCAGTGCACACACCTTGAACAAAGCATGTGATGCCCTCTCCCAGGTCAGTTCTCTTGTTAGTGCTGTCTGTAACCAGTATGTATGCCTGCATTGCTCTGTCATTTTCCTATAGCGGAGTTCAAATATACCCATGGAGGAAATCACAGTGTTTGGTACAAGTCTCTCCAGGTTGAGTCAGCTAATGAGATCTTTTGTTTAAAATATTTACTCACTTTACAAGGCTGCATTATAACTTTTAACGTACACTGTGACTGAGGTTTATGAAAGTTCATGTTTTGTGACTGAACTGTACTTAGTCAGAATTTGTAAACAGGGTAGCAATCAGATATTTTTCTTCCATATACAATAATTTTTTTTTAAAAAAAAGAAGTGCAATTTGCGTTGCAGCAATCAGTGTTAAATCATTTGCATAAGATTTAACAACAGTTTTTATATGAATGAATGAATGTAAACATTTTAACTTAATGGTACGTAAATAATTTAAAAGAAAAAAGTAAACTAGGCATCCTTATACTTTTTTATTGCAACATAAACATCCACTTTCTGTATTTGTAACTAGTAAAACCAAAGTTTCAAGAACAAGCCTTCTCTCAGGAAAATTGCCCTCTCCATTTGCTCATGAGTTTTATACAATGCAAATGCATATTGTTTTGCCATTAAATAAGTATGTGCTGGAAAGAAACAAATAGCAATGAAACTTTACTACCTAACTGATACATATGTAAATACTCCATAAGATATTTAGGCATCTTTAAGAGTTAGGATGCAATCTGTATAGTGTGACTGACCCATAGTTAGGTTGGTTTACATTTTTTTTTAAATGGGATGCCATTTGGAAAGTTATTCTTTCATCAGAGCTTTACAAATAAAAGGATATTGGTTTTTTTCTGTACAATGTGATTTCTTCTTTGTTTCAGTCTGGTATCTTACAAAATGGTTATATAAAATGTATCTGAAGCAGTGAGAATGTCTAAAGAATACAACGAAGTCCTCAAACATAGCTATTTACTCCATCCATGTAATCATTCATTGTATTTTATCTATATAACTCATAGCATTTTTATGATTCCCATCATTGTGTTATCTGGTAGTGTAAAAAAATACAGCCCACTCTTTTAGAGGCAAGGCGCCCATTGCCTACAGTGAAGTCTTCAGGGTTGACCCCAAGCCTCTCTTTAAGTTATCATTTTTCTGTGGCCTTAGGTCTTATTTAATGAAAAAACCCGAGAGTCTTGCAGCAAATGATTCAACCTCTGTCCCTGGCCCAAATGAAAATTATTTTGATATCAACCAGAGTTTCAGATGCAGGATTGGGCCTGAAATTGATACAAATTTGTTAATCAATAAAAGACCAAATATTACGTAGAATTTCCCATTATATTAGCATTACTATGGGACTTAGAAACTGGAATTTCTGAATTCCAGTCATAGCTCTGCCATCAACCTGGGGGATAGCCTAGGTGAAGTCTCTCACCCTCACTTACCCAGAGTGTTATTAGGTATGAGTTGGGATAGCTCCACTGACTTCACTGAAACCACATACTGTTTTGCGTCAGTTGAGAACCCATCTCTTTGTTTTCCAGTGTCTGTATCTATACAACAGGAAAAATGTTTGCTTCCCTACCTCACAGGGGTGTTGTGAGGATTAATGAATATGGTAATTAATATTGGTGCAGTGATTTGAAAATGCAATGCCTTATACAAAGGCTGTATAAATAGAAAAGTCTGAATGATAGGATCTAAGGTTGAGAAAGCAAAGGAAATTACATATAACAAAGATAATTTTAAAATTAATTCATTTTCTTTTAAAATATTCCTTAGCAGAAATGGACATTTTGTGGTAAATCAGTCAAGATGCTTGGAGAGAAACATTAACTTTTGTTCAATTGGTTTCTAAGTAACCTGTTTACCTACAACTTTACATTACGCCCATTCCTGGACACTGAATGGATGTAGGGGGGAGACTGGATGCTGCGTTTCTGTGGTGCACATCTGAGAGGTGCAACTTAAACCTTAATCCTTGCAGCCCTGGTGAACAGGGAGCTGAATACTTTTTGAATACCGTGTGTGTGTGTGGACCAGTGCAGCCCTCAAAGCAAGTTAGATAGCCTTGGAGAACTGTATTTCAATGGCAGGGCTGCCCAAGGCAGTGCTGCCCGCAATCTCTGTGGTCTTACCTCTGCCACTCCTGTTGTGCCCTTATCACTTCCATCCCTGCTCAGAACTTGCTCCTGTTATTGTCTGCAGCATGGCAGCATTGGTGGAAATAAGGGAAGATCTTGATCAGCAGTTATTTTATTACTGGTGAAGACACACAAGCTAGAAAGAATCCAATTTGACTCTCACATCCCACGGTGAATCTGCAGGGATGGTGGTTAGGGAAAAATTGTTGCTTGTATCTCAGCACAGGTTTTCTGGAAGCACCAGAAATGCAATAGACACCAAATGCTAGGGTACCATTTTTACACTATCACTTTACAGAGTGGCTCATGGATAAGAGAAAGGTTTGTTTTAGTGTTCTTGATGAAAGATTGTGGCTCTGTGTAATGTGCACTGTAATTTCTAGGATGGTTTTCTGGTCTAGGGAATGAACAATTCATTCCCCCTTTCTCCAAAAAGTCAATTCTGCAATTGACTGACAAAGGAGGAGAAATATGAGATGCATCTTCTCCCTGGTACTAAAAGTCTCAGCTGATTACCAGATTCCAAAAAATTGAAAAATCTCTCCAGTCTTCCTGCGTGCCAAGAGTTTCAGTTCTTTCTTAACCAGCTGTCAAGATCTCCTTTCCTTTCCTGACAGATGCTTTACGTCCTGAAGATGTATACATTGCAAATTCCTGAGTAGTGTCGGACAAATTGAATTAAATATCAAAATACATCAAAAAGGTTAAGGTACTGGACCTAAGGTGAGAAAAGTGAGGGGTTGCAGATAGTGGGAGAATTTCATATGATGTAGATGGTCCCTGCTGCATAATTTAAATCCAATATGTTGCATAGGCTCTGAGATCATTTTATTTATTTATTTATTTATAGTCTGTTTTGGAATCATCGAGTAGGGCAGGTGCTGCATACTCCTGAATGGTTATAGCATCGCTGATTGCCTTCTCTTAAAGAAGCAGAGTGAAAGCTGAAAAGCTCTAGGTATGTGTTTAATAGGTAAAATATGGGCGTGTGTCCCGGAAGTCAAGGATTAGCCAAGCAGAGTTCCTGTGCTCACTATGGGAGTAACTAGGTGAAATTTAATAGGCTGTCACTTATAGCTCAGACCAGATCATTTTGGCTTTAAACTCTAGGAATCTATGAGTCTTTGGATGAGGCTTAACACTGAGATTCTGAATTTTTGTGACTATTGAAAATCCCATGGTAATTTTCATAAGAGTTGCTGCGTACAGTCTAATATCTTGAGCAAACCTCAGCTTAGATAATTCCTCTCTGCCTACCTAAAATTTCCTACTTTTTCTCCAAAACTGTGGTATATTATTGCCATATATATATTCTCCCGGCACTGAAATGCACCTCTCTCTGACAAGTAACTTAGAAGTTGTTTAACAAAATAAAGCAATACTATACCACAGTTTGGGAGAAAAAGGAAATTTTGGAAATTTTCCTTTCCTCATGTCCCTGTGACAAGGTATTTAGCAGAATTTGCAGATTTGTCGGAATCTGACACGGCCATGCTGCAAGCATTTCTGCTATGGCCTTGAACTCTTGGCTTCCAGCCACTCGCCCCAGTTTCTATGCCACTAGAGTGGGGTATCACACTCTCTTTATTCAAAGGAGTAGTATTGTATTTTTAAATTAGACTTTTTCTTCTTTCTATCCTCTCTGATCCCACTTTATAGTGTTTATATTTATTCTATTTCACTTAAACCAGAACAAGATTGAACACTCAAATAAAGGATTAATGTGGCAAAATTGGACTCGTAAGCCTTCTCTGGACTGTGAAGAACATAGCTATGTTCTGTTTCTCTACAGAATAAGTGAAATAGTTAGCAGTACATTTTTTATTCCTAACAATTTGAATAAAGCAAACATTCCATTAAGCCTGGTATGAGGCCCCAAAGAGAGTAGCACTTATATTCTTGAGATAAATGATATAGTGCAATTTCCATGTGCTTTGATTTGCTAAAGTTGTATTTTTTGCAGGTCAGGTTGACAGCTTCAAGCACAGAGTTCTAGAAATAAATTTGCTATTTTGTTTCCTTGAGAAAAATATTATTTAAAAGTATCACTACTGGTTGACTGTTCGTCGCAATAGCTTAGTGTTTTTCAAACTGGGGTACAAGCACCCGCTCAGAGTCTGCAGTGAACCTCCAGAAGATGTGCCAGAGGAAAGAATGGAGAAGCAAAGAAGGGAAAGTGGTGATAAAAATAGAGGAAAAGGAAGAAAAAGCATAACTAAATGAGATCTCTACAATATGTCATAGGTTGGTTGTAATGGTACACCGTGGTGGTAGTGACATAAAGTGTTTGATTTTCTTTAAATTATCCACATCAAAGAACCATAGAAGTATATGGCAGTTTAACACATGTAAAAAGTTGTGCTTGCCCAAAATCATTTGAGAAACACTGCAACAACTTAATGAATCCCTATACAGTAGCATAACTAGGGGTAGAGTGTATGCAGGGGGTGAACAGGGCAGCATCAGGTACCAACTTAGGGGTGACAAAACAGGAGCTGGCTGGCTGCTGCTACTGCCCTGTGCAGGCATTGTGTAGCTCTGCACTAGGGCAGTTATGCTACTTCCAGTTTAGACAGCAGTAATTAGCTGTGTTAATCTGAAGTCAGGCAGGAGGTGGGGCAAGGTATCAAGTTAATCTCTAAGGTGCCACCCTGCCCTGCCTTCTGCTGTACATTCAGTTTGGGAGTGCTCCCAAACTGGAGGGACCGTAAGTAGTCAGAGCTGCACCACACTCTACAGTCTGTCTCTTGGGCGCTTCCTGGCATGATCAAAGCACTACACTGAGCTAGCTACACTCCTTGTGGTTTAGGAGGTAGCATGCCCGGAGTAGATGTGGCCCTTCTCACTTCCATTGCTGCTTGATATCAGAATGAGGCAGTACATGATTTCTCAGGACAGACATTTCCCATGAGGTCACACTTTCGATTCTTTTTGTAAATTCCACAAGGCGACAGTGACAGTTTTACTCAAACCAGGATGGCCCCAGCCAAACAGGAAAGCTTTATTCTTGCAGACAGGCTAGTTTGAATAAATTTTACTTTTGTGAAGTAAAGCAAGACATACTTAAAAGATGGTGTCTTTCAAAGGATTGTGAGGATTAACTGAGCATTAGCAAGAACCAGGAAGGTGGTCTCTTAAAGTTATAGCTTTGGCTCTCTTGCCCAACTCTCTGCCCTCCTTGAAATGGTGATAAAATTCATGGGACTAAATGAAAGCTTTGTATAAGCAGGAAATTCAAGAAAAAAAGCTTGTCTTTCTACATTCTTAGTCATCAGTTTTCAGCAAAAGGAAAGAAAGCGTAGATACCATCACACCAGATTCAAGGTTTGTAGACAACACCTGATTCTTGCAGTGTTTCTCTGAATAGGACAGTGGGAACAGGCAGAGATGCTTGTATATGCTGTACTATTTCTGAAACCCATTCTGTGGTAATAAACGTCGGGCCTGATGCTGCAGCCCTTACTTGTATCTAGACTTGAGTGGAATTCTGTATGTAAAGCTATTTGCATAAAGGTTGCATGAGAGGGTTACATATGTTCAGAAACCAGCTATTATCTAAGGAAAGGATTACCATTCCTGAAACAATTCAAAACTAAAACTGAAAGATAGTTGTATTTGGATACCTGCTATATGCACAACAATGCAAAAAATCCATTATTGTATGTGTCCTATGATTGATTAATACACTGATTATTTATTGGATATTTGT